AGGAATGGAGCACAAGTATTCTGTGTCTTTGCACGTCTGTGCCTACTTTTAGGGAGAAAAAGAAGCAGTTAATGCTCATAATAGGACTGGACATAGGAGACCACTATCCATAAGAAAAGATGCTGCCTTGGGTCTTTTATTTTAGTAGAGGAGCTTGACACACTACATTCAAGTAATGATTTTACATAGTTCTTAGGTGATACTTAAAATGTGAGAGTTATTACATGGCTGTAAAATGCTAATTACTTGAAGCATTATAATTGTGATTCACAGTTTTCACTTCCGGGTCATTACCTTTTGAGAAAAGAATCTGCGTGATCCGAGGTGAGCAGAACCTTGCTTGAGATGTTTGCAGTCCCTTGAGATGTTTATACATTTTTTAGTGGGCCTTACGGAAATTTTGCAAAAAATTTTATTCCCACTTACCTGTGAGTGTTCGACGGTTGGCTTTTATGCACCCAGAGCTGGGCAAGATCCTTGGGAGGTACTATGGAAGACACTGTGGAAGACGCATGAGAGCTGGCCCCAGTCCTCTGTGAGGTTCGCATCCAAAGGCAGAGACAGCATTTCTGAAGCAAGCAGAGAAAAGGCAGAGGTGGGCTGAGGCTGAGGAGTCACTGTGAGAGACTGAGGTCCTGAAGAAGTCGATGCTGGGTGAATTAGCTGGAGAGAACCTGACAGAGCACTGGTGCAGATAAGGCGCTGTGCCATTGAGAAAGACCAGTAATCACAATAAACAAGGCCCTGACCAAACAAGTAAGAAAAACTAAAAAAAGAAAGAAAAAGAAACAAAAACAAGCAAACAAGCAACTGAAAAGGTTGTTTCCTGAAACTTAGAGTTTTGATGGGGGTCAGATTTTAAATGCTGAAGTTGTTGTTGTTACCTGCTGCAACGATAACCCCCAAGAGTCAGCTAGGACTGCCTCCTTAGAGTACTCCTTAACACTGAAAGTTAATTGTTCTCAGTGTTTTTATATAGGAAAATGAAGACACGGCGCAAAATCCTAGAAGATTCTGGACTGAGTGAGGAGCTTAGGCAGCATGGGTACTCAGACGTCTCAGTAAGGTTGAGAACTGACTGCAGAAAGAAACATTTTTGTCCATGTTTCTAACAGAACAGACATGCTCTCAAAATGTGTTTAATTTGTGGTTTCTGCTGCTCGTCTCCCATTTGAAGTCATGTAGATTATTTTGAAATGACAGAACTAATAAATAAAGAACAGCTGTGCTAATACCCCTACACATTAAACAAGAATGGAGAGTAAAAGATTGGAAAGTGGACACAATAACACAGTATAGCTTTTGTTGAGTCTGCCAGCCTCGGGAACCCTCCTCAGGTCGTCGCTGGCCCTTTGTTAGGAGCAGCGTGAGGACAGGCTGCAGGCTAGAGGCAGAGCCCAGAGATGCTCCACACTCCGTGGTTCGGCGGGCCTGAGCGAGGCCTTGAGTCCAGCACAAGCAGGCCTGTGGCTGCTGGCATCTACACTGCGTGGGATGGGTAGAGCCCCAGCACTGAAGAGGAGTGTGTGCCCCCACCCCACCCCATACCATGTGTAGACAGGCACAGTGCGCCAGTCACCCATTCCTACATCCAGAAACTCTCTAAATAAATAGTCTGTTTCTAGTAAAAATCTTTTTTGTTGAAATTGGGTTTCTAGATGGTTCTGATTGTTTTACAACTTTGTTTTGAATATTTGTTCAAGAAATTCATAGGAATTATGTACTACTACAGTTGTAATGATTTTGTGACTGTTTTAAAAGTTACATGAGTGAAAGCTGACCTTCTTCTGATTACTGTATAAAGCCCCTGCTTGTTACCTGTTCTGAGTAATAGAGTTCCTACCTGTTAAGGAGCTAAAAACTGGTGAATTAGAAAATCAATACCAAAACATAGTTGCCTACTTTTAAGAAGAAATAACAACACCTTATTTTATACTGAATTGGCTTTACAGAAAGATTTAAGAATTCTCATTTGGAATTTTGAATAACTCCATTTGAGTGATAATTTGAAAGATGTTATTGATGATTTTGGTATTAGTGTCTCCTTCCTTTGTCGCCTAAGATAGAAATCCAGAGAGCTGGACTTGGGTTTCTCTTGGCCTGTTTATTTTACTGCTTGCTTTATCCAGGACGAAGGTGTGGCATGAATTCTTCATCCATCTGGCATTTTAAAACTCAAAGATGAAAAACTCTACTTTCTAAAAATGCTCCGTCTTCTAAAAGCTGCTTGACAGTTGTGGTCATGAGAGAATACAAGATCGATTTGTGGGTTTATGTTTTGCTGATAATGTAATCTATTATCTAAAAAAAGACTAATTTTTTCTTGTTTTGTATTCATTCAAAAAAAGTACTATTTTACAGGAGTATTTTGTCCTCAACTTTGTGTGTTTGTGCTCAAAAGCTTCAAAAGTTAAATGCGAAAATTTACTTTGAATTTATTTATTCACTTCATACATAAAACTTTCTTGTTTAAATACACATGCTTGATAAATGGACTCACTTGTCATTATACAAGAAAGTGGCATATGCTTTGGACCATTTGATCCGAAGTTTGAGAGAAATAGATGTGACAAATACTTTGGAATAACTTCAACTGAATAAATTCGTTAGAATTTTTTGAAGTCTGTTTTGTTAAACATTGCTCAAACTGTTTAATTTAGGGTAAATATGTTTGTTGAAGAACTCATTTAAATAAAGGAAAAATACTTAATGTGATTCTCCTTCTTTTGTTAAGAGACAAAAAGAGGTGAGATAAAGCGAAGAATTAAACTGACAGTTATGACCTGCTTGGGCTTAAAAATTACAAATATACAGGGTTGTTTGTTTTTTTCTGTACCCAGCATTAATACTCAATCCTATAAGATACATCTATAATATCAAAGAATATCAATATATATTATTTACATTTTACGTAACTGAGTAAATATTTCTTAACACGTAGGAATCTTTAGTATATAAGTCTGTTGGTAAGGGGTCTGTAATTTGGGTTATCTTGCACTCCTGTTTTTCTACCTAAAGATTTGAGTTAGCAAAGATAATTCATCAAGAAAAAGTTACTTTCTAGGGTTATATAATGAAAGGAATTAACTGAAACCTGATGTAAAATGCCATTCAGATTTCAGACACTGGACTGCAGGTCTGTCTTCATGATTTCTAATTTTACTTGTAAATTGGTTAACAGGAATATGTCCCAAGATTGCCATATACCTTAATTTCTTCATACTTCCTAATCTGTTTGTAACATAGTTCTTAACCTATTTATAGAAATACTCTTTTCAAGGCGATCCAAGTGGGGCATGTTGTTGTCTGATAAATGGCCTGATGAAAATGAGCTATCACCAGGAAGAGCAGTTACCCAGCCTAGTGGATAAAGTCAACATCCTGCTGTGTTGTACCGTACTACTAAGGTGGCTTTATCTGTGCAAAAAGGGAAAAATCCAAAGGAAAAAACGCCTCTGATTTATTCTTTTGCTACTCACTCACCGTAGTAGACTCTGTCTTCAGAATTCTGTGTAAGTTCTGAGCCCAGTCTTCCTTTTCCTGGCTGTCTAGGTAGGCAGGGTCCTCTGATAGCAGAAAGTGCAGTGACTGCATAGACGACTCCTTCAGTAGGTTGGCTAATTGCTCTGAGCCTCAGTTACTAATTCAGGAAGTGAGTGTAAAAGTTCTCTTTTGATGAGCATTAGATGAGGTTAGATTTTTGCTGGGCTTGAGTTACACTTCCACCATAAGACTTGAGAGCTATATAAAATAGTTACTATTTGTAGTATCTTATTATCAAGTGTAATTACCCTAATTTTAATATCAGCTCTAATTATGTTTCATGTTACTAATCATGGTGTTACTTTATCAGCATTAGGATGGTTTTAAGGTTCTTATCTTTATAGAAATGTACTCAACTTGACAAAGCTGTTATTGATCATTTATAGTAATGAGTTATGGTCTTTAGTACATAAAGGAATAATTGCTGTGGGATAGCCCTAGGCTTTACCTTTCTTTTACCTATTACCAATGTTTTGATATTTTTTCAGTAATAAGTTAAATGTCAGTGATTTCTTTTTACCATTGTTGTTAGCTCAACCTACAGTTCAAAATCTGCATATATAGTTCCTCTCCTTTTTCTGAGGACACAAAATTAAGCGTCAGTAAGTAGATGGTATTATGTTTATATATGATATATAAATTGCTTTCTTTGCTAGTAGGTGAGTGACTTATAAAATTATTCATAGGCTCTGTGTTGATTTACTTGATACACTTTAGTGAGAAAGTGGGAAGGAGCCCTTTTTTTCCCTTCACTGCACTTATATGAGTGTACTTTAAAAAGTTTATGGAAAATAGAATTAAAAGGTGAATTTATTTTAGCACAACAAAATTGAATTTCATGCATGTATTTTTCATAATATGTGTTTTCATAAACCTTTGAAGACCCCTCTCATATCCATGATTTTCAAAACATGTTGTACCAAAATAAACTTCTTTTTTAAAATATTTATTTTATTTATTTGAAAGAGTTACAGAGAGAGGAAGAGAGAGAGAGAGAGAGAGAGAGAGAGAGAGAGAGAGGTCTGTATCCGCTGATTCACTCCCCAGATGGCCACAATGGCCGAAGCTGTACCAATCCAAAGCCAGGAGCTTCTTCTGGGTCTCCCCTGTGGGTGCAGGAGCCCAAGGATTTGGGCCATCTTCTGCTGCTATTCTAGGCCATAGCTGAGAGCTGGATCTGAAGAGGAGCAGCCAGGACTAGAACCAGCGTCCATATGGGTTGCCAGCGCTTCAAACCAGGGCTTTAACCTGCTGCACCACGGTGCCGGCCTCCCAAAAGAAAGTTATTTTAAAATTTCATTTCCCACTAACTTTGTGCAGTATCACTCTATCTAGTAAATACATTGTATTTACGTCTTTCATGTTATTTTCCTCTCAAAAGAAATTGAGGATGCTTGAAAGTGGGCAGCTGACTGTTGATACGACTGCACACTAACCATGTTTTCCTTTCATTTTAGTTCAGACTTGGTTCCTTCAAACTGGAGAAAGTTGCAAGCCCAGCTGAGATCATTAGAGAGCTTATTTGTTACTGCCTGGACGCCATTGCTGAGACTCAAGCCAAACATGAGCACCTGCAGAAAGAAAATGCAAGGCTTCTGAGGGACTGGAACGATATTCAAGGACGGTGTGTACACGGGGTGCTTGCGGTACAAAGCCACCAAGCTTCCCTCGGCTGTAGCCTCAAGCTAACAGATCGTAAACTTACAGTATCTGTGGACTAGCATCTATTGAAAATACAACTGTCATGAACTGTTCCTTTACTTAATATGATTAAATCAAATTGGTAGTCAGTAATGTGCATAATGGGCAACAAATAAATAATAAGGAATAATTGGGCATTGCAGTTCAGAATCCATTACTGTAACATTAATAAAGGATTTAGGTAAAGGCTTTTTATAAGAATTAGTTCACCTCCAGTTGTAGACGTAATACTGAATGAAAGACATCTGAAATATAAATAAGTACAATGGAGGCCTTATTTGGAATCAGTGAATGGCAGCTATTGCAAATGATGTGTGTTTTGGCTCCTAAAAGGGACTTATTTCTCCTGATTGATTGAAAATTCACACTACAAGCATTTTTAAAAGATGAAGTAATTGTGGCTACTGGATAAAACATTGGGAAGCCTTTTATTTTCCTGGCTTTTCCTCTTATTTTTGTAAATGATGAAGAGGAAAGTAATTTATCATCCCAGTTATGAACTTCCTTAACAGAAATTATAATCTAGGCTTCTTCAGTGTGTAAGTAAAAGATATTTGGAGTAAATAAAAGATTGTAAATATGTCCTCACAGAGATGTGTATTATAGTACATTTTGTGAAAAGATATTTTATAGGTAAATTATGCATAGAAATGCCTAATTATGTGGAGTAAATATAAAAATGCTAACAAATATCATTATATCAATAGTTTTATCTTCCACTCACACACTGAGAACATTGGCTGCCGAGGAGCTTCTGAGAGCAGTCACTGTGATTGCTCTGTGTGTACGTTAGTAAGTGTATGCGGGAGTCCTTGAACAGTAGAAAGGTTCGGTGTCCATGGATGCATGTGAGCGTGTGATTCACTAATGGAAGTCATTTTTCTGTACGCTCAATTATTTTAATTAATGCAAGACGTGACACTAAGTTATTAATACCTGGCTGTATTTGGCCCTCAGTTATTTTAAAAATTATCATGTACTCTTTCAGTTTTAAATTAATTTTTACTAATTTTTACTACCAGTTACATATCCATATAATTATATATAAATAACAAAATACCGAGGCCAATGTAAAGCATCTGTAAGTATCAGGAAACCATACTGGAAAAAGCAAGTTAATTTTTCTCTTTAGCTTCTGTTTTCTTCATTTGAGTATAAATCAGTATCAAATATCTGTGCTACAAACATTTCTTTGGCCTTCCATCTGCAGTTTAGGTGTGTCTTTCTGTTTTATATATGAAATAAATCAGATTCAAGGAGACATACCGGGCCGTGATGAGTCATTATATTTAAAACTCAGAATGCCCTCAGGATGATAGGAAATCCGACCCACAAATTGCCCACAAAAGTGCAGCCTGGGTACTTGGTGCCTGAACAACTCGCTGTGAGCTGTCTGCAGAGGTTGGAGGAGGTATTATCTCATCAGCATTCCGCACCACTCCTGTGGAATGGAAAGCAGCAGGGAACCAAGAGGAGGCCGTGGAGACGACACGCCCCGTGCTGTAAGACAGTGTGTGTGAGGAGCGCATACAATACGTGGTGCACACGTGCCTCATCTGCAGTGTCTGAACTCCCCAGAAAGGGCTGTGTCTGATTGTGGTTAGCAGGTTTCCCCTCTGATCAAAAGCACGGCCTACTATCCTGTCACCTGCCCGATTTTGTTCATTCTAGCTCTTCTCTTTTTATTGACTCTGGATCCAGCACGTTCAGGGCTCAGAAATGTGTGCCCTGGGGGTGGCCCGGAGAACTGAGAGGAAAGAGTCCCCTCCAGAGAATTCCAAGCTCTTGATTGTATACCAGATGTTAGGCTTAGAGCTGTATGCATTTCCCAGATTGGGTTTTCTGCCCTGTCAGAGCAGAAAGTATCCACTTTCTGTGTCCAAATGCAGCCAGGTATTAGGGGCTGTACACACCTGTATATCTTGGTTATGGCCGAGCCGCGATTTCTTTTTCTCCCTTGGTAGGGTCTTAGGATGCTGAAAGCAGAGCAGAGGATTGTAAACTCCAGCTTCCATAAGGCAACAAGGGGTTTTATACTGCTAAGAAATAGAACAGAGCCTACCAAGTTAGATACAAGGGAACTTTGAAACTGGAGTCATTAGACTCAGGGCATGATGCTAGGGACAGCCACCACTCGGTCTGCAGGGCAACCTCTGTGTCAGTATCCGTCCATGGTCCAATCATGTCTTCCACATGATTCCACCCTGCATATGGGGTGGGGCAAACATAGGTAAGAGATCAGAGCTATTCCACAAGCTATGGTAAATGAGTTTGAAGTATTCAACGGAATATCTAAAGGTTCATTGAAAATAGAATTAAAAACTACCCTTATATTGCTTTAAGAAAAATACTGAAATCCATGCAGGATTTTGACATTATACATTTTCCATGAAATTTTTGAAGTACCCTCGTATGCATTTTAAAATTTTTAATACCAAACTAAACATCTTTTACTTTCATTTTTCAGTATCTTCTAGTTTTTTTATGTAAAGGTTTATTTATTTATTTGAAAGTCAGCATTACACAGAGAGAGGAGAGGCAGAGAGAGAGAGAGAGAGAGAGGTCTTCCATCCAATGGTTCACTCCCCAGATGGCCGCAACGGCCGGAGCTGTGCCGATCCAAAGCCAGGACCCACGAGCTTCTTCCTGGTCTCCCACGTGGGTGCACGGGCCCAAGGACTTGGGTCATCTTCTCCTGCTTTCCCGGGCCACAGCAGAGAGATGGACAGGAAGTGGAGCAGCAGGGTCTCGAACAGGCACCCATATGGGTGGCCGGAGTTTCAGGCCAGGGCGTTAACCCATTGCACCACAGCGCCAGCCACCTTCTAGTTTTAATATATAATAGGATATATGAACAATAATCAGTCATATACACCTGTGATTATTAACATTAAGAGTATTTATATTATGAAAGGATGTGTTATAAATATGAGTAACTGATAATTTATTTTTATGAAATGCATGTTTATATAAAAATAGAAGGAGAAAATAACATGTAAATAGTGTATTCTGGAATTGTGGGTTAGATTTTTGTTATTTTGGTATTTGTGGATCACTGCTAAGATCAGATCCAACTACAAAGCTCTTTCCCTTTAGAATGACAACAAAGAATCAGCAAGGTTTGAATGAGGAACGCGGAATCCCAATATGAATAAAAAGAGAGCTTTGATGTGTAGAGGTTCAGTGTATATATTTGCTGTCGTTTTAGCTATTGTTTAGTAATTATAGTTTTGGCTCCATTTTGAATAAGTGGCATTACTCTATTACTTTAATTTTTGTAGTTTAGATAAAAGGTGGAAACATCCTAAAGCTTGTATGTGAATCCTTAGGTTATGAGCTATATTCATTTCACTGGGTTTTCCTACTTAATTTCGAATAACGGCTCTCAAGTTCCATGTTACTGAATAGAGCTTTTGTTTGCACTCAGACCTCAATTTAGAAATCCTCTGGCTTCATTCTGAGTTACAGCTATTAAACCCATAATTGGAGGCAGTTTTCAGTGAATTGGGTTGACACTCATGGAATCATCAGAATAGAAGACCTTGGAAGCTTTTCTGTGTCATCCCTCTGCCTTCCAGCTAGGATCACATTAGATCCAGATGAATTAAGTCTGATTTTTGTAAGACCTCAAGAGATATCTCCATCTCCCCCTGGTAGCCCATTAGAGTGTTAAGAAACAGTCACAGTCAGAAATCCTCCCCCCCACCCCCCCACCCGGTAATCTGAATCCTTCATGGTACAGTTGAAGGCCATTTCCTCTTGTCTGTCATCAGAAAGGGTGAGGAACAGCTGTTTGCCATCTTCTTCAGTTCTTAAAGGCTTATTAAACCTCGAGTCCACAGCTTGCTTTTTTCCCTAGTCCGGTTTTGCTTTCTTTGTCCTCTCAGCTCTGTTCACATTTTCTTTGGCTGTCCAGCCCTGATGTGGATGTGAATTTGGAGAGAAGTGGTTGTTGCTATGAGGACTGCTGCACTGTGTGTCCATTGTTTTATTTTGGACTGTTGTTTAATCTTTTGTTTCATTTTGGATGTTATTTTTGTGTGAAATTGCTTTAATTTTACTCTTATTATTGTTATTGCTTTTAACATATTATTCTTAGATTCTTTTCCCACCCAAAAACTTTTCATTTTGGATATTCAGTATTTTTCTTCACTTAGTCATTATCCTTTCAGCTTTGCAATATAGAATGTATATGTGTGTACACACACACACACACACACACATCATTTGGTCCATGGTCTTAGCTAACTCAGTTCTAAATTACTAGTAAAGCTTAGCATTATTGTTGCGTTGTCTTAGTCACTGGTGAAGGAAGGGTCCTTGGGCCTTTCCTCTTTGAGGTTATTGATGGTTTGATTCATTTTGAGCTCTGCCTTGGAGATGATGCGTGGACTCAGCTGTAGTCTGCTTTTCCTGTACAAGGGCCTTCTTTAGTGGTAGTAACCGAGCAGTGATTCCCATGTTCTTCCTCCCTGAATTCGTTTCATCTGCTGATTCCTGTGCTGTTCTTCAGCTGGGTCTTGGCAGGAAGCAAGAAATATGGCACACATATCAACATCATTGAGACTATAGGAAAGGATTGGTATTAAAAATCAAGGTCTGGGGCCAGAGCTGTGGCACAGTAGGTTAATCCTCGGCCTGCGGCACCAGCATCCCATATGGGTGCCGGTTCTAGTCCCGGCTGCTCCTCTTCCAGTCCTGGCTGTTCCTCTTCCAGTCAGCTCTCTGCTGTGGCCTGGGAAAGCAGTGGAAGATGGCCCAAGTCCTTGGGCTCCTGCACCCGCATGCGAGACTAGGAAGAAGCACCTGGCTCCTGGCTTCAGATCAGCACAGCTCCGGCCATTGCGGCCATCTGGGGAGTGAACCAACGGAAGGAAGACCTTTCTCTCTGTATCTCCCTCTCACTGTCTATAACTCTGTCAAATAAATAAATAAATAAATAAAATCTTAAAAAATTTGAGGTCTGGAGGAAGCTGTGTACCTCTTCGTTACCAAATGTTGAACAAGAGAGTAGCATTTCATATCATACAACTGTTAGCAGTAACACTGTTGCAGGGCCTGTGTTGTGGAGTGGCAGGTAAAGCTGCAGCCTCTAGTACCAGTATCCCACATGGGTTCCACTTCTGATCCAGCTACCTCCTGATGTGCCTGATAAGGCCGTGGAGGAAGGCCAAAGTGCTTGGGCCCCTGCACCCACAGGGAAGACCTTAAAGAAGCTACCGGCCCCTGGCTTTGGCCTGGCACCACCCCAGCAATTGCAGCCATGTAGGGAGTGAACCAGCAGATGGAAGATCTCTCTCTCTCTCTCTCTCTCTCTCTCTCTCTCTCTCTCTCTGCCTCGGTAACTCTGACTTTCAAATACATAAATAAATCTTTTTAAAAATTAATAGTCCTTTTGGGCTAAGCGTTTGGCTGTTTCGCGTCAAAGGTTAGCATGTGCACATGTGATACCCAGCTGGTGCTGCTGACTCCAGCTCCCTGTCATTGCAGACCCTGAGAGGCGGCCTGTGGTGGCTCCACTAGCTTGATCCCTGCCACACATGTGCAAGACCCCGACTGAGTTCTCAGCTCCCAGCCCTGGCCAGTGCATACATGCTGGCAGTGAGTCAGTGGTCAGGGGCGTTTGCTCATGTGTGTGTGTGCACGTGTGTGTGTGTATGTGTGTCCCCCTGCAGTGATCTTCTAAACACTTTATTTTAAAAGAGCTTTATATAATAATAGTAACGAGACTGCAGTCTGTCCCAGTCAGCCTCCACTCCCCAGCTTCTCTGGGAAGTGTTTTCCAGCAGGATGAAAAGTTAGTTGGAACCAAATCCCTAAGCTTTGTTAGAGCCAAGCAAGGTGAACTCACAAGAAACACTTTCTTCTCTTGGCTTCTTTTCCCCATGATAGAAATGGTGTTGCATTTGCAAATGAGTTCTGTCCTGGGGATTTAAGTGAACACTGTCCTTCAGGAAAATTACATACCTCAGTATTTATTTTCACTTTCATGTGTTGTACCAATTATTAATTTTATTAAACGTGAAAATTAGCTTGATAGTCCATAAATACATGTAATCAGTATTTTTGTTTGATTTCTTTTAAAATCTAATACAGATTTTAGTTAGGTAAATTAGTGATTTGTTACCATTCCTAAAATTTTATATTGCAACCTTGCAATATTAAGCAAGATTTCTGTTAAGTATTTTATATACTATTTTAAATTTTTCAAAATTTTATTTATTTAAAAGGTAGAGAGACAGGCAGAGATCTCCCATCTGCTGGTTTACTCTACAAATGCCTGCAATCGCAAGATTGGGTCAGGCTAAAGCCAAGAACTGGGGATTCGATCTGTGTCTCCCATATGGGTGGCAGGGACCCAGGTACTTGAGCCATCATGTGCTGCCTCCCAAAGTGCACAGTAGCAGGAAACTGGAATGCAGAACAGAACTGTGACTGGAACCCAGACATAATAATGTGGAATGCAGGCATCCTAAACAGTATCCTAACAGCTATGCCAAATGCTCACCCCCTTACAGTGATTCCTACTTTGCAGATGTTTTGAAGTATTTTATAATTATATACTCAGGTATTTTAGTGGTATGTGTATGCTATTCATCTTTTGAAAAAATACTTATCGTGTTATGTTAGGAGATATTATGAGAAGGTGAGTATTGTGCTTAGGTAAGACTTTGCCCCTGAAATAGGAGGGCAACCATTCTCTTGCTTAAAATAAGCCATCGATGTTGGCAGCTCCACTTCAATTTTAATTCTTTTTCCCCTCACATCTTTTGGTATATTTCTTTCCAGTAGGGAATACTGTTATATTATTTACCTCATTTTTTAAAAGGTGACTATAAAAAAAATGCTGTTACAGTGGTGAACAGAAGTGTAACATTCAGAATTGCCAGCGTCCTGGTTCCTTGTTACGTTAGCCACATTAGTCTTTCTGCTCAGCCATGCTCCCTTAGGGGAGAGCTGTAGGCAGCCTTGGCACCCAGCTGGGGTCATCTGGCCCCCAAGCTCCGCTTCCACTAGGACTGGCAGAGGTCTGCAGCCTCCTGGCCCAACCAGCCAGCCAGGAAGGTCCACAGACGGGGCCCTGCAGATGGAAGCGCGCGGTGTCGGCCATCCCCTCCGTCTGGACCCATCTGGCCCATTACAAGATGCTGCACCATGGGGCGGCACACCAAAGTACAAGCTACCAGGGGCTTCAGCTGGGAGGAGCTAGGGGTGGCCAGAGGACAGTGGGTGTCTCTGCAGTCCCAGGAGGCAGGTTGGCCAGTGTGCAGGATGGGAAGGAGTACTCCCGTGAGCTCATCTTCTTCCTCAGCAAAGGGGACAGACTGGCTCCCAGCTGACAGCAGCAGTCATGCCCATATGGAGTGTCTCCAGGAAGGAGAGCCAGAATCCTAACCAACACGGAGAGCTCCAGGCCTTTGCCAGTCTTTGCCTAGCCTCTACCAAGGCCTGGACCGCCGGCGTCTGGGCAGACAAGACTGGGGAAGCTTCAGAACAGAAGGCTGGAGAAAGAAAGTGCTGCTAGGGACTTGTAACACACCAGCAACAAAGCTCGAAAGTAAAGGACAGATTCTCATGTTAACTCACGCACTTCGTAGTTATCTGATAAATATGGCTGAACATCTCCAGAGTCCCAAACGCTGTGCTAGGCACTGAGGACCAGATAGCCGGGGAAGAGCACACATTTTCTGCTCTCCTGGGTTTCACAGCCTTGGCGAAGAAGACGCCCTAAGAATTTGCTGTAATTGGTTCCATATGTTCCTTTTCCTCCTTTGTGAAGTCTGACTTCTCTGCGTCTCTAGATAAGGAGGGTTGTTGAAAATATATGGACATACAAACAAGAGTTAGCATTTTAACCGTTTTCTTTGTAATTATCCATTAAATAGATATACATTTATATATCATGACTGATATGTGTGTATTATATATATATGATATAAAATTAGTAGGGTGCTGGGCTGGCGCTGTGGCATAACCAGTAAAAGCTGCCGCCTACAGTGCTGCCATCCCATATGGACGCTGGTTCAAGACCTGGAAGGCCCCTTTCCAATCCAGCTCTCTGCTATGGCCTAAGAAAGCAGTATAAGATAAGGCCCAAGTCCTTGGGCCCCTGCAACTATGTGGGAGACCCGAAGAGGCTCCTGGTTTAGGATTGGCCCAGCCCCAGCCATTGTGGCCATTTAGGGAGTGACCCAGCGGATAGAAGACCTCTCTCTCTGCTTCTGCCTCTGCCTCTCTGTAGCTGCCTTTCAAATAAATAAATAAATCTTTAAAAAAAGTACTAGGACACCTATGTGGAACAGCAAACAAATAAGTTTGCTTTCTCTGCTGTATAGATATATCGGGAGATAGCTATGGCTCATTTGAGTACTGTAGGAGTCATACATGAGAGAATTTTACACTTTGCCTTATATATCTAAAATTGAGGACATGTAGTGTTTCACATTTCTGATTTCATTAATCGCTCTTTAGAAACATCAGATAGGATACTTTTACTTATTATACATCTCCATGTGTGTGTGTGACTGATGTGTTTTTTGTATGCATGAGTGCTGCGAGGTTATAAGGATGTAACAAGTAAGTCATGTTCTTGTTCTGAAGCCATTCTTAGTCTACAGGACAATCAAGCAGATTAGGTCCATGACTTTATCACAGAACAAGTTTATGGTTGTTTTCATGGGAATATTGAGCAACACTGAGGAAACCAGTGGCAATTATTCATTTGAAGTTTCTCCCATAAAAGCATTCTTTTATAACTAAGCCATAGATGTAACCAAAATGATTACATGTAGGCATTTATTTGTCTTTCATGCTTTATTTGTATCAATTTTCAATTTTGGTCCATATCTCAATACCTAAATTACTGACCTGAATAACCAGTGACCTCTAGTTACTTCTTTAATTGCCTTTATGAAACTTCTAAGGTAATGAATGCATATGAACACATGATTTTTAATGGTAATTCGCTTCAAAAGTTTTCTTGAAATTTAAGTATTACATTGAATAATGAGGCAGCTAAGAAAAACGCTGTGATTTGTTTATTTACTCTTCTAGATTTGAAAAATGCGTGAGTGCCAAGGAAGCTTTGGAGGCTGATCTGTACAGACGGTTTATTCTGGTGTTGAATGAGAAGAAAGCAAAGATCAGAAGCTTGCATAAATTGTTAAGTGAAATTCAAGAACTAGAAAAGAACACCGAACACGTAAGGTATCTTGGTGCTTATATTTTTGGATGACAAGTACATGAATTTAAGCAGAATTCCTTTCCAGGCTTAATGCAGTTTAGGTGCCAACTTTTTAGTGCTATGAGATCACTGGGTATTCTGAGGTTGGATGCTCTACCCATTAGGGATGGCAGCTCTCTGTCTGCCTACTCTTTTAAGTACATCTAAGTGATATAATTAGCAAGAGGCTTATCTATATGGTATTTGTTTAGTTCTGAGACATCACTGAGAAAGAAACAAATTTATTTTTTTGAAGAAAGCTTTTATCTTCTATAAAACTGCCAGATTGTCACTGCGTGTTTGTCTTACTGATATCCAAGCAGGAACTAAGGGCAGAATCACATTGCTGATGTTAACGACCAAGGAGTACTCAGTTTTATCTAGTCATCTCTCTCCTTCTGTGGACTTCTCTCTGAGAGTGGATGCGTACTTGATTCTCAAGAAGGAAACCTAGGTGACAAATGGCTTGCATGACTTTGGACAATCGTAGGTTTCATGGGCATTACCAGGTACAGATTAGAGTCTGTTGCATTGAATCTGAGAGGAGGCACACATGTGCTAATGACAAACTGTAAAAAACAGCACAGTTGATGTCAGCTGGTTTAGCTGGTTGGTGTAGCACTGATACCTATTAGTCTGTGGCTTTGGGCAAGCCGTTTCAACTTCTTCCTCACAATAAGGGTAAAGGTAACAGGCGCCTTCTCAGGATTTTAGGGCGACCAAATGAAACACAGAATTCCATTGAGATGGGAAAGTGCTAAATGCTTTGCAATCCACAGAGAAAATTTTGCAGAAAAGTATTTTGGTATAAGAAGAACCTGATTGTAAAGTTAATGATACTGAGCTCTGAATACCATTCAGATTATTAGGTAACAGAGACATTTATCTTAAGAGAGTTAATATACAGTCTCCAAAGTAAATTTACCTAAAACATATATATTCCAATACATATTTTCATAATTAGGATCTTTTTCCTAGAGTTTTTTTTTAAATATTTGTTTATTTATTTGAAAGGCAGAGTTAAAGAGAGCGGGAGAGACAGAGCAAGAGAGAGGGAAAGAGAGAAATTGATCTTCCATCTGCTGGTTCACTCCCCAAATGGCTCAGTGGCCGTGGCTGGGCCAGGGCAAAGCCAGAAGCCTGAATGTCCATCTGGGTGTCCCACATGAGTGGCAGGGGCCCAAGGACTTGGGCCATCATCCGCTGCTTTCCCAGAGCTGGATCATAAGTAGAGCAGCGGGAACTGGAACTGACACCCATGTGGTTTGCCTGCCTCACGGGCAGCGGCATAGCCTGCTGCACCGCAGTGCTGGCCCCGGAGTAATCTCTGTAATTACTTAATGCTGAACTTGCTGCGCAGCCAGCGTGAGCCCAGTGATTTTCAGTGCTCCATTTCGCCCTTCGTAGGGAGACCACAGCCTGCTCTGAGCCGACTGCTGACCGAGATGCAGTCTATGATGCGAGCACTGATGAGGAAGGAGAGAACCTGGCTGGGCCCTCTGTGGCGGCTGCAGGTAAGAGTGATAGACGCTCGTTTCTACCGTTGAGTGCCTCTCGCTTGGGCTTCGTATTCTAGTGATAAGAAGTTGTGATGGAGAACGTTGGGGATTTCTATTCTAAAACCTCAAATGCTTTGTTGTGAGATGTAGCAGTTCAGGCACATGTGTATACACACATACAACACGGTGTGCTTTTTCTGGTTAAACAAGGATGCGTAACTCATAAGAAGACAGGGCTCCGTGCTGAATCTCACCACCTGAAAGCTGGCTTGTCTTTACCATTTGAGATCTTGTGTAGCGAGACGCCACGGTGGAGCTCTGAAGTGAGGTCTTCAGGAACGCAGTCACTGACTCAGCCGCAGGTCTTCTCTCATTCTTCTGCAAAGGGGCTGCGGTGAAGTAGAGAAGAATGGAAAACGGGCAGCTGAGGTTCCCTGATCCTTACACAGTCCCTTGGGCCAGGTGCCCAGCAGGTGTTCACCCGATGGGTTTTTTTCCCAGAGTTTTATAGATCTCTTAGCAGCAGTGCAAGCTGGAGTTTGTGACCCATGAACTCATTTTATAGTCACATGGTTCTGATCTAAACCCATTAGTATAAAAAGAAACTGTTTGAATCACTTATTTAGAAAATATTTTTGAATACCTTTTGTATACCAAGAACTTTTGTGTGCAGTAAAGAATAAAACACAAAAATCTGGGCCATTGTGTGGTTTAAGTTCTTGGAAAGGAAACAGCTAAGATGATAAAGAAATTCGATGCAAAGTGTGTCAGTCTGTGCAACACGCTAAAGATGATAGCATAGCAGGGACAGGTAACAGGAATGTCAGACTGGGGGTAGGGAAGAAGGATGTGATTGTAGCCAGAGTCCCAGGAAAGGTGAGTCCGAAGGGGAGACAGCATGCCGTGCTCAGCAGTCCTCTGAGGTCCGAGGCCCTGGTCTGTTCAAGCGTGGACACGGGGCAGTGTGAATGAGGTGGGAAGATGAAGGTGGGGAGGATTAGGAGATGAAGTCAGAGATTCGGTGGGGCCACTCACCTGCAGGACCTTGAGGGACACTATAAGGACTTCAGCTTTTAACGTGAGTTGGGTTGGAAACTGTTGGAGGATTTGCAACACTCAACTTCAGGTTGGAACAGGATTTGTCTGGCTGGTGTGTTGAGAACAGACTATCAGATGACAGATTCGGAAGGTGGGATAGATGGAGGCTAGTTCAACAGTCTGACGAAGGATGTGCGTGTGTAGGTGACGAGCACTGAGCAGGTTCTGGATGTACAGAGAGGCAGCAGGATATGTTGTCAACATGGGGATGGCAGAGAGCCTAAAAGGGGTAGCCAGGTGCTACGAGGCCGGACCACAAATGAGGTGTCTTGGCAGCCACGTGAAAGGGGACCTCCAGAAATACACAGCGATCCACTGAGGGCGGTGCAGCGAATGGGGCGAGGAAGAGAGAGCTTAGGGACTCTGTGGGGCTCCTGATGGAGCATTCTGAGTGAGATGGTGGGAGGTAGAATATAGGAGGTTCAGAGGAAATGAGAGGGGAGAGTTGGAGATGAGACAGCAAAAATGTTTTCAACAAGTTTCACTGTAAAGAAAAGGGAAGACGTGGGGCAGCCAGTGGATTTGGAAGTAAGGTTAAAGAGTATTTTTTGGTGTTAGATGAAAGAGAACACTCACATGTCTGTGTACTGATGGGAGTGAGTGAGGGGAGAGAACAGAAACATCACGATGGAGACAGAGGAAGAAGTGCTGACACACCACACCTGAGCAGAGAGCACGGGACCCAGTGGACACGCAGTGGGGCTCATGAGCTAGGAGCAGAGCAGGTAGATAAACGAACAAAGACATAGGAGGCTCTCTAATCGCAGCCATGGAAACATATATTGATTGAATTATCTGATTGGTTAATCTGGTTCTAATCAGCTTGGAATTGGCTCCCACACTCTCATACATTTGCACATGGGAATTAAATTTCCTTTCATTTGAGGTTGGGCTTGTTTTACATTAGTGCCCCATTTAAAATTAAGTCATTCTTTAGTGATCAAATGTAATCAAAGGCTCACAGACAGAACCTGTGTTCTTTCCAATTGAAGCTTCCAGAATTTGTATTAAATATAGTGACTGGTTTATTTTGTTGCTTTTCCATAGTATCTCACCAACATTTGAAGTAGTAGATGAAAATTATTTGTTGCAGAGAAAACATATGTTTAAATATGACTATATAAGAATGTGGTCCTTTATGTGTTAGATCTGTTTAAAGCAAAATATAAGCTATAACGGTACTGTTTTTAAATTTGACAGAATTTCTCTCTTCTGATCAGAAATGACTGTTTTACTCCACGTTTTCTTGTATTTTATGTCTCATTATTTCTTCGACTTCTCTCTAGTTTATTACATATTTGATCCATGGGTCTCTCATTCTAATTTTTTTTTTTTTTGAGCTTGTATTTGCCAAGAATTGTATGTCAACAATTGAGAGCATTTTTATTAGAAGTTTCCCTTATCCTTTTCCTTCTGCTTCAATGAAGAATGATCAAGAAACTGATGTTTGCTAAGATGGAAAATAAATCTCAAAACTAGAATTTCCGATACTGGATTACAAATTGGAACCTATAGATCTGAGGGGGAAACAGCCTATGTTGAGTACCAAATGGCCTCCCTTGAAAGTTGACCAGCTTCCACAAGTAAGCCTTTTACAGAGACAAAATACATTATAGTTAAGTGCAACGTATCTATTTTGTACTTACTCTAATGTTACTATGTATTTGGGGCAGAGCATTGGGAATTTCTCCCTGAACTGGCCTTGATGATAACTTGCTTGTTCTTAGAATTTAAGTAAATATGTGAATTATTTTAGATATTGCAGTTTTATATGTGCTTTCCTTACAGTGAAGCCCAGAGGAAGAGAGGTCAATGAAGGTTAACACTTTAACCTTAACTTTTAGAAGGTCACTTCTTCAGTGTGTAATTTGGGAATATTCTTTACTATATAAATGGATTTTTGTAACCAATTATTAAAATACCTAAATTTATGAATTGTTCACATTTTCATATCACTCCTGGATAATAAAATAGATTTAATGAGATCATGATCATTGAGAGATTATATTTATATTATATATATTTATATTATCTTATATTTATTCAAGGAAACTGTTTCCTTTTATGAATACTTCCAGAAATAGGTTAAGAATATCATAGTTTGAAAGAAATTGATCATTATTTTATATAAATGAACAAATGACTTCATTGCTTTATTTTCTCCAGAGTTTTTTGTTTTGTTTTGTTTTGACAGGCAGAGTTAGACAGTGAGAGAGAGAGAGAGAGAGAGAGAGAAAGGTCTTCCTTCCGTTGGTTCACCCCCAAATGGCCACTATGGCTGGCGTGCTGTGCCAATCCGAAGCCAGGAGCCAGGTGCTTCCTCCTGATCTCCCATGGGCCCCAGCCCTTGGGCCATCCTCCATTGCCTTCCTGGGCCACAGCAGAGAGCTGGACTGGAAGAGGAGCAACCAGGACAGAATCCAATGCCCCAACCTGGACTAGAACCCGGGGTACCGACACCGCAGGCAGAGGATTAGCCAAGTGAGCCACGGTGCCGGCCTCTCCAGAGTTTTAAAAATTTTCCTGTCACAAAATTATTGAAAAAATAACTAATGATAAGTAGTCTAATCAAACTACATCATATTTAAAATTCCTACACTATAAGGCATGAAAAACTTCTAAAGTGTTCCTTAACAGTTTAATAACCAAAAGAAGATCCCCAAAATGTTCAGAAAGTTGAACGTGACAATTAATACCACTCCATAGTACATTTTATACTTTTCTGTATCAAGATTTGCCTCCCCTATTTCCTGATTTTCCGGGTTTCTAGATGGGTAAGTAATGACATAACTGACTTATTTCTTAAATTGTGACTGCTTGCCAAGGTCCCCGAGTTCACAGGTGTTTTTTACTTCTTTCATTTAAGATTATGATAGATAAGATAGTTTGGATGATCTGTGTATGATTTATCACTTAACCCCTGGATTATAAAGGAGGTGTTACTTTCAGGTCTGTGCAGCTGGAGTCAATTCCTGGTACCTGTAAGGATTTTCTGGTTGATGTGACTCCCCTGCCCCCTAAGTGTTTTTATATTTATTTTTGTTTTTAAAAACTTACCAGAAACCTGTTGAGTTACTGTCGGTACTGTGAAACACTCTTCTCTACTGGGAACTGTTTCTTTGGATACCTGTATCCATATTGAGATATCTAATTAAACTAGGTCCAACAAATTACTGAAATGCTCTAAAATACACAGGAATAGCGGCATCATTAGTATAGCCCAAGAACCAACATTTGCAACATTATACCCAGTTGTTCTTTCATTTGCTTCCTCTCTATCAGATTATAAACTAAAAAATAGCTTATTAGGCAGTTTTTAAAATATTTTTTCAGTCTGTTTAATTATGGTAATAACAGCAGTTGGAAGCAATTCTAAAGCATATGTGGGGACTGGCATCTGGTGCAGTAGGTAGGATGCTGCTTGGGATGCTGGTATCTAATGTCGGAATTCCTGGGCTGAAGTCTCAGCTCCGCTTCCAAGCTCCCTAATAATGTGCAGTCTGGGAGGCAACAATGATGGCTCAAGTCCTTGGGTCCCTGCCGACTATGTGGGAGGCCTGGATGGAGTTCCAGGCTCCTGGCTTCGGCTAGGCCCAGCCCTGAGTGTTATGGGCATTTGGGGAGTGAACCAGTGTGTGGGAGATCACTCTTTCTTTCTGTTTCTATGTGTGTGTATGTGTGTGTGTGGCTTTCAAATAAAATTACATAAATAAATGAATAAATAGTATATGCCTATTCTAAGAATTTTAGCAATTATTACAAAATGTTAGTTTAAATGTAGTTTGAAAAATGTACAAATGTTTAGCGAAAATTGGCATTTTTAAATAGAGTAGGATCTTCCATTTGAAGTATTTTGAAAATTATGCCTCATTGGCTACTAATTAGACATTTTCAGAGGAATTAATTTCTCATAATTA